ATGGGATGGTTTTAGTTGCTGCCTCTTGTACAATGTTGCGAACCTCCGTCCATAGTTCTTCAGGCACTCTGTCTATCAGATCTAATTCCTTAAATCTGTTTGTCACCTCTACTGTATATTCATCAACGATATGATTCAGGTCATACCTGAGTGGCCTAGTGCTTTCCCCTACTTTCTTCAACTTAAGCCTAAATTTTGCAACCAGAAGCTCATGATCTGAGCCACAGTCAGCTCCTGGTCTAGTTTTTACTGACTGTATAGAGCTTCTCCATCTTTGGCTGCAGAGGACATAGTCAATCTGATTTCTGTGTTGACCGTCTGGTGATGTCCATGTGTAGAGTTGTCTCTTGGGTTGTTGGAAAAGAGTGTTTGCTATGACCATCGTATTCTCTTGACAAAATTCTACCAGTCTGGGCCCTGCTTCATTTTGTACTCCAAGGCCAAACTTGCCTGTTATTCTGGTTATCTTTTGGCTTCCTACTTTAACATTCCAATCCTCCATGATGATAAGGATATCATTTTTTGCTGTAAATTCTAGACGGTGTTGTAGGCCTTCATAGAACTGGTCAACATCAGCCTCTTCAGCACCGGTGGTTGGGGATAGACTTGGACTATTGTAATGTTGAATGGTTTTCCTTGGATTCGAACTGAGCTCATTCTGTCATTTTGGAGATTGTATCCCAGTACTGCTTTTCCTACCCTTTTATTGACTATGAAGGCTACTCCATTTCTTCTGAGGGATTCTTGCCCGCAATAGTATACGTGATGGTCATCTGAATTAAATTTACCCATTCCTGTCCATTTTAGTTCACTGATTCCTAAGATGTTGATGTTCAGTCTTGTCATCTCTTGTTTGACCACATCTGGCTTGCCTTGATTCATGGATCTTACATTCCAGGTTCCTATGGAGTATAGATCTTTGTAGCATCGGACTCTCCTTTCATCACCAGATACATCTGCAACTGAGTGTCCTTTCGGCTTTGACCCAGTTGCTTCATTCTTTCTGGCACTACTAGTACTAGCCCTCTGCTCTTCTCCCGTAGCATATTGGACACCTTCTGACCTGAGGGGCTCATCTTCCGGCATCATATCTTTTTGCCTTTTGGTACTATCCATGGGGTTTTCATGGCAAAGATACTGGAGTGGGTTGCCATTTCCTTCTCCAGTGGATCACGTTTTGTCCGAGCTCTCTGCTATGACCTGTCCGTCTTGGGTGGCCCTGCACGGCATAGCTCATAGCTTCATTGAGCTATGCAAGCCCCTTCGCCATGAAAAGGCAGTGATCCATGAAGGAGAGGGAAGTCATAGACACCAATAAAAAGTGTTACAGTATTAAAACAGCTTGTTTAGTGGGTAATAAGGAGCATTTCTAAGAATCCAGATCATATTAACCTGCTGGACAGGTGGTAGAAGGACAGTTTTGAAGTTTGGCAGTGGTCAATAGGGAACAAAAGTATGCATTATTATAGCTGGCAAGCAAGAACCAGATTAAGAAACTTCACAACTATATTGTTTTCAAAGAAGCAATGTCACTTGAGTCAGAAAAATCTAGTGACACAAGGCACTACCAGGAAGCATTTTTGTAATACCCTTGAATTCAATGAAATATTTGTATACATGCTTATCTCCCCAACTGAAGCTAATGCTCCTACTGTTCATTAATTTCTTGTTAGTTTCCTGATTTTAAATGGTTTAACTAAGGATGGTTTGTTTTTTAATATTATAGCATAAGCAGCTTCTTTTCTAAGTGGTCTATAACTAGATTTTAAAATATTGTGAATATTATTTAATTTAATATTATTTAATCATTATCCGCATCAAGCTTAGGAACTGTTTTCTGATCAAGGGCGAAGTTACAAACTGGCAAAGATTCAAAAGATTGCTAAATGGGTGTGTGGCCAAAAGCAGAATAGGCAGGGACAAAATGTAATTCTTACCGATTTTAAGCCTACTCAGAAGCAGGCAAACCTCAGAAATAAGCAGGCACCCCATCCAGCTCTCTGGCAGGGAAAACTTTTCTCTCAAATCAGTAACTAAATCTCGGACCTCTTGGGGGCTAAATATTTTAGGAAATATTCTATTAGAGGTTGATGAAAATGATTAAGTTTAAATTATATCAAAAAAATTCAGCAACCTTTTCTACAACCACTGTTCTTGGAGCCAATGCTTCTTATTTCAGAAAGCTCTGAAAAGGAGAAACAAATATATCACCTGGTCCCATAAATACATTTCATCCTATGTTATTGGTGTGTTTCCCACAAATAATTAAATATCAGAAAAGGCAAGTGGTCCTCATCACCAAATACAAGAAGATAATTTGGAAAGATTAAAATTACAGCCTTATAGTCAATTGTATGGTGCTAGGACTTATAGAAATAAGAACTTCTATTTCATGTGATCATTATTTTTGCCTATCCTTTATATTATCTCCATCTTCCCATTTTTTAGCAGACTGCTAGTGCTTGGATCCAATTTGCACCATATAGAAGGATATTCACATTTCACATAGGAAAGTGATTAAAGTCATTGCACAAAAGGGATATGTCTTCAACATTTTCATTCACTTTAGGGAATTAAGTTAAGTCTAAGGGAAATTTAACATGATATACTGAGATAAAACTTCGGCTCCATGCAGCTTCTCTAAATGAATTTCCAGATGTCTCTATAAAACTCCAGAGGGTTGTCCATAAATTAGAGGATATATTCATTCTTATGCTGTTGCTTTTAAAATTACATCATACTCAACATGGGGATGCACTGGAAACACCATTCATAACCACTCTTCAAGGATTACATTCTTCTGTCAAATGCTTGCCCATACATCACCGTATATATACAAGGGAAGGAAGCAACATACAATCCAGCTCTGGGGTGCTATAGCCATTGAAATTTTATATATGACTATGAAGTGATGGATGCTGAAAGATTCTTTGATGAAATGGTTAATATTTTTCAGTTTAGAACTCTTCTGCTTTTTGTGCACAGTGTGATAATTATTCCTGGATAGCCATTAAGATTTTGGCCAATTTTCAGATTATAGATTATAATGTAACAGCAATCATACATTTTATATGTAATACATTACCAATATTATTCTAGTATAATTCTCTATTTAACTGGGCTTTCTGAATCATGTAATCTCTTTCCCCTTGACTGCTGTGTTTATGTAAAGTAGCTATGTTCTGAAATAGCTACTTCATTCTTTATTTTGATGGCAGTTGAAGGTTTTCTATACATTTCTACTGACCTACTGTTAGTAATTTGTCCCCAGTTCTGTCTTTTTCGTTTAGAATAGTCCAGACTCAAGTAGCAGGACAATAAACACTATTTCTATCACAAAGTAAAAAGCTCCACCCACAATGTTTTCTGTTCAAAAGACTGTCTTCAGCTATCTTATCAGAATCCTATTAGAATTGTTATGCAGTTCCTGCCAAAAACATGTCTTGTTTTAAATAAGTTTCCCCTAAACCAAAGGGAAAACTGCTATTGGCTGTAGCCTAGACATATTTTCACTTCTTAAATGGTTTGTGGGAAATCTATACATATTCCTGTACAGGATTTCAGGTTTTCCCATATTCCAGGCCTCAGTTACTGTAGCTTAAGTTTGCTCACAAATGCATCCACAGACAATCTGAAACTGATGTAGCACAGCAGTGAATAGTATGAATAGACAAACTTCAAAATCAGTGTCTGATCATCCATAAATTTACTGGAATGATGGCTGTCAAACAGCTGCCACTGCAGAAGCCACTCTTGTGCTCTGAAGTACAACCCAGATAAATTTCTAGTCTCAGCTGGAGGAATGTTCAGGACAAAAATTCTTTCTTTGTTCCTATAGCACAAAAAATGGGCTCTTGCCCTAAAGCACCTCAGAGACAACAAGTAAATTGAGCTGGTACCCCATCTCATGCTCCTTCTAAAGCAGGTGGTGGGCCTGCCTGATACAGTCAGTAGTATTTCTTTGAGGACAAGGCAGCACCTCAGAACTGACTGCCAGCTTCTCCCTCCCAGTCATCCTTGTCAGTGGCTCAAAAGTGAATCATTCCAGATGCTTAAAAGGATGTCTCCTTCTGAGACCATGCTGAGTTCAGTGCCCCCTTGACAAAGAGAAGTCTTGTTGATGGCTTGAGAGGTCCACTCCCAGCAATGACTACTCTGTGTCATTGTGGGCAGGGAAAAGCTTTGATAACACTCCCCAAGTTTGAGTTGAGAAAGAGTAGCTGTGTTCTGATGTGTATATTAGTACAGGAAGTGTAAAGAGTTCAATTCCTTTAAAAAATCTTCTTCATCCCTAATTGGAAAGCTTCCATGCAGGTGATGAATAACTAAAGTATTTTTACGCTGCCCTTAACATTTTCAGAAGAGTTTACAAAAAGAAACCAAACATTTATTTGTAAATTAAAATGAAAAAGCTAAGAGGCACAAAAACAATTAAAAACAGCAGAATTAAAATTACATCTAAAATCTTAGAAAAACAAAATGATCCTTCCCTGGCAGCAAAGGTACTTTAGAATAGACTCCAGGAAAACCCTGGGGAAAGAATATGATAACTAGTTTTTAAAAGAAAAATACACATTAACTATTGTATTGCTAATCAGATGAAACACAAAAATGAAATAGAAGTGCTGATGCTTGTAACATAAAGTAGGATCCTATTTTACCTTAATTCCTGCATCAGAAATCTGTCTACATTCTGATATAGTAATCTCCTTGATTTTCCATTGTTTGCCAAGGGTATCCAGAGCCTATAAACATGTTTAACAAATATTAATTTGCATTATTGACACAGTAACAGTTACTCTACTGGATGTATTTCTTGTGATTCAACTGCTACTGTTCAAATACTCTCTGGAGAAGACAATCATGCTAGGGAAAGTTGAAGGCAGAAGAAGAAATGGGTTGAAATGGGTCGACTCCATAAAGGATTCCTTGAATTTGCAAGAACTGAACAAGGCTGTCATGGATACGAGATTTTGGAGAGCTTTCATACATAGGGTCACCGTAAGTCAGATAAAACTTGACAGCACATAACAACAACAAACTGTTCAAATGGGAATTTTGCCCAATTGGAAGCTCTGATTACCTTTTAAAGGGATGTCTTTTCATAAACTAAACACTTTTCATGCTTGAAACAGATGAAAGAATGAAAAAAGGAAAAAGTAGAAACAAAAGAGGTATATTTTCAGTATTATACTTAAATTACTAAGGACTGAATGGTGTTCATTACTTTCAAATCAACTTATACAGAATACAGAATGATTGTAATGTGGCTAGATGTATAGGGACATAGGGCAAATAATGTCCAGTGGGGTCTGGGACTTCCAGCTATTGTAGATGCCAGCTTTTGGGAATAGAGAGAGAAAGAGACTAGAAGAATTTCCCTCATTTCCTACTCAAACACCAAGCAAGATTCTAGCAGAAATTAAACCTGGCTCAAATCCAAACTGAGTGATACTGTTTCTATTATACAATTCTATCACTACTCAATGCTTCAGGACCCAAATGCCTGAAATAAATAACAAAACATGACAAACTAGTTCTGTGGAGAGCTTGCAAATTATTTACTCCCAATGAAGGAAAGGAAAAAAAATGATACTGAAAAAGAGCATGAAAACATTGAAGTGCTATTTTTACAACATTGGGAAAAAACATGAAACAAATACAGATTTTTTGCTGTGTTGAAAAAAAACAGTTAACTAAAATGTAAAATTGTTACTCTCTTCTGAAAAGAGCAATATCCAATATGAACTGGTAGACAGTAGGTTAAGTTTATCTTCCAACATGTCTGAAATGGAACCAGCACATGTTTGTAACATATTCATTCTCATACTAAAGATCACTGGCAACCCTAACAGCTCTCTTGTGTATGTGGTTAATTTACTGTGTAGTATATTATTCTCCACTGATTTAAAAATCAATCCTGTATGTGTTCCTTTGGTTAAAGGTATATTTTAAAAATAACTCCCTGATAATATGCTATTACATTTAAAAGTATGCTTCACTATCGGAAGTATGTGGAATGATAGGCTGTGTACTTCATGGTGCATATCATATGCATGTATATTAAAGAGAAATTACCATGTCACTCATAAATAAGACCTAGAAAGGCGAAGAAGAGCTAAGCCTTGAAGACTGACAACTCTCATGATATACAGTAATAATTTGGTAAGAAGATTTCTTCAAAAAGGTGAAATCGGGACAGTGATTTACCATGGGAAAATAATAAAAAGGGAATTATCTTGGTAAATACAGACAGTTGCAGCACAGAAATGTGGACCTATATCTACAGAATAACCCTATTATATAATATTTAAATAATTGTTCTAGGCATACTCTTGGTAGCAAAATTATCTTCTGAAGATTTCTTTATAAACAAAACTGTCTGAAGATCCACTAGGAAGGGCAAGTTGATTACTTGCAACTCAAGTTTTTCAATACTCCCCTGTGCCTGCATACAATATCTTTGGAATATTCTAGAGTTAGAACTAGACGTTTTAGGCAGTAGAGTTCATCCCCCTCCCCAGTCCTAGTAAACCGCCTTACCATTCAGTACAAACTTCTGTGCAGAAAGATAATACTGGCTGACAGCAGGGTGGTTGTGATTCTGAGACTAGGTCAGAACATGCTAGTTTCAAGTATGGCAAACAACAGATGTGGAAGCAAAGGAGTGAGGAACCCCAAGGAGCCCAGATGAGACAAAAAGGAGTGCGTTTGAAGATGTAAATACAGCAAGAATCACAGCTAACAGGATAACAAGACTTTGTCTCATGCCACTCTTACTTCACATGGGATCAGGTGATCTGGCTGAAGAGGTGGCCTGTAGCCCTTTATGGAGGTAGGTAAGAAAGTTGGATAAATCTACTGCAAGAAAAAAGGCTGGCTGAGCATCAACCCAGTCAACATACTCTTTTGACTTGTATCCATTCTTCAATGATACTCAGCAAATCCAGTTTGGGATGTCAGTGTTTCTCAAGGGAATGTCCTTGGAGGCCACAGATAAACACGCGGGTATGCAAATTCAGACAGCAAAGGAAAGACAGTGTTTCTTCACAATGTCAATTAGACAAACCTATGTCAACATGCTCCTTCATGGATCACTGCTTGTCGTGGCGAAGAGGCTTGCGTAGCTCAGTGAAGCTATAAGCTATGCTGTGCAGGGCCACCCAAGACGGACAGGTCATAGCAGAGAGCTCTGACAAAACGTGATCCACTGGAGAAGGAAATGGCAACCCACTCCAGTATCTTTGCCATGAAAACCCCATGGATAGTACCAAAAGGCAAAAAGATATGACGCCGGAAGATGAGCCCCTCAGGTCAGAAGGTGTCCAATATGCTACAGGGGAAGAGCAGAGGGCTAGTACTAGTAGTGCCAGAAAGAATGAAGCAACTGGGTCAAAGCCGAAAGGACACTCAGTTGCAGATGTATCTGGTGGTGAAAGGAGAGTCCGATGCTGCAAAGATCTATACTCCATAGGAACCTGGAATGTAAGATCCATGAATCAAGGCAAGCCAGATGTGGTCAAACAAGAGATGACAAGACTGAACATCAACATCTTAGGAATTACTGAATTAAAATGGACAGGAATGGGTGAATTTAATTAAGATGACCATCACGTATACTACTGCAGGCAAGAATACCTCAGAAGAAATGGAGTAGCCTTCATAGTCAATAAAAGAGTAGGAAAAGCAGTACTGGGATACAATCTCCAAAATGACAGAATGATCTCAGTTCGAATCCAAGGAAAACCATTCAACATCACAGTAGTCCAAGTCTATGCCCCAACCACCAGTGCTGAAGAGGCTGATGTTGACCAGTTCTATGAAGGCCTACAACACCCTCTAGAATTTACAGCAAAAAATGATATCCTTATCATCATGGGGGATTGGAATGCTAAAGTAGGAAGCCAAAAGATAACCGGAATAACAGGCAAGTTTGGCCTTGGAGTACAAAATGAAGCAGGGCCCAGACTGGTAGAATTTTGTCAAGAGAATACGATGGTCATAGCAAACACTCTTTTCCAACAACCCAAGAGACAACTCTACACATGGACATTACCAGACAGTCAACACAGAAATCAGATTGACTATGTGCTCTGCAGCCAAAGATGGAGAAGCTCTATACAGTCAGTAAAAACCTAGACCAGGAGCTGACTGTGGCTCAAATCATGAGCTTCTGGTTGCAAAATTTAGGCTTAAGTTGAAGAAAGTAGGGGAAAGCACTAGGCCACTCAGGTATGACCTGAATCATATCGTTGATGAATATACAGTAGAGGTGACAAACAGATTTAAGGAATTAGATCTGATAGACAGAGTGCCTGAAGAACTATGGACGGAGGTTCGCAACATTGTACAAGAGGCAGCAACTAAAACCATCCCAAAGAAAAAGAAATGCAAGAAAGCAAAATGGCTGTCTGAGGAAGCTTTACAAGTAGCTGAGGAATGAAGGAAAGCAAAAGGCAAGGGAGAAAGAGAAAGATACAAACAATTGAATGCAGAATTCCAGAGATAGCTAGAAGAGATAAGAAGGCCTTCTTAAATGAACAGTGCAAAGAAATAGAAGAAAACAATAGAATAGGGAGGACCAGAGAGCTCTTCAAGAAAATTGGAGATATGAAGGGAACATTTCATGCAAAGATGGGCATGATAAAGGACCAAAATGGCAGGGACCTAACAGAGGCAGAAGAGATTAAGAAGAGGTGGTGTGAGCTTAGGTAAAGGACTCCGGGAGATGGTGGAGAACAGGAAGGCCTGGAGGAGTATTGTCCATGAGGTCACAATGGGTTGGACACGACTTCACCACTAACAACAACGATGTCAACATGTGAACAAACTTTATGGTGAATTTAGGATTAGGTTACCCTAAGTATGCTTGTTCAATTTTAATATTGTGTAATTTTGGTTTAACAATTGGACATTGGGCAGAGCAGTTAATCAACACTTGAGATTTAGACTCTATTTCTATAATATATTTAGAAGTTATTCTTCATCCTTATGAAATTTGTTAGGCTTTCTTCATAGTTTGTGGTTTTGGTAACAATACATCTCACAGGGCTGCTGAGTGGCTAAGTGAACAAGAAATATGGCAATGGTTTTTAAAATTTTGTGAAAAAGCCACATGTGTATTCTCCCCAGATTTCCATCATGCTTGAGTACTGTTGATGGTCTGGAAATACATGTGATTTGAAATGTTTATGACATTCAGAAAAGGAAAGCTGTCAGCTATGATGCAGCTATAATTATTATGGAAAGGATAACTTTTGAATATGGTTGGCTAATTCATTGTTTGAAAAACAAACAATTAATTAATATTACTATGCTAAACAGTACAACCTCCACTTTACACTTTCATTTAGATAAGCGCATCTACTCTTAACCTCTTACTTTTAGTAGAATATAATTTGCCTCATATTTCATTAGCAGGTGTTTCACTAATTATATACCAAAATAAAACTTCTGAAAATACTGAATAAAACTAATGGCCACTACTTTTTTAAACGTAAGTGATCGTTGAGATAAGTTCCTCATTAAAATACATTTAATTTTTAGTAAATAACCTTATGCATGTAAATTAGTGTTCATCATTTCAGCAAATAAAATACATTTGAAAATTATTAGTATGTAGAATGTACTTTTCAAAAGCATGTTTTAGAATATTACACTTCCAGTGCCCTCAGGATAACATCTTTCTGATTTGAAGCATACTTGCCACTAGATAGATCAAACATTTTTATATCCTTTTTAATGAAAAATGTAGATCCAAGAATGTTAGTCTATAGTTTAGATGACCTTTGCATGAAAGGGATAAAAAGTGTACTCCAGATATAGCACTAGTTTCCATCTTCCACACAGGAAAGAAAAAATAATAGAAATAGAAAGAATGTACATTTTTGAATGAAAACAGACTTGGTCTAGAAGCATGGTAAGCAGAAAAACTATATTTACTGTTACTGAAAAAGACATCTTTGTTTTTAGTACTTAAACTAGAGGGAGAGAGAGAGAGATTTTTTTTAAACCCTGTCACAGTTCATTTGATAGAAGGCTATTGATGAAAGATTGTTCAGGCACAGCTTTTTCCTCTTGCACATTTAACTATACTACATATCTAAGGCAAAGGCCTGTGGGAAGACCAAAATTCAACTACTGATTCTACCACTGCATAAATGGTACCAGAATTTTATCAACAGAATTTTGGAGTAGCTTGTGATATTGCACAAAAGTGGCAAGATGGGAGGAAATTATATTCTTGCATTTGCATAAGAATGTATTTATCAAGACCTTGAACAGAAGGTAATTTTTTCCCCGATTTTTATCCTGCCTTTTTCCTACAAAGGGCTCAAGGCAGCTTACATCTCCTCCTCCATCTTATCCCCACAACAACAACCCTGTGAGGTAGGTTGGGCTGAGAGTCTGTGACTGGCCCAAAGCCACCCAGTTGGCTCCATGGCTGAGCGGGGACTAGATCCCAGATCGTCTGAGTCCCAGTCCCTTGCTCTTAACCACTACACCACACTGGCACAATACTCTAATTGTGATAGTATTTCCCCCCTTCCCTTCCCTTCCCTTCCCTTCCCTTCCCTTCCCTTCCCTTCCCTTCCCTTCCCTTCCCTTCCCTTCCCTTCCCATTCTTTTTTCCCTGTGCATCAGGTCTTTTTAAATTGTAAGCCTGCAGTGGCTGTCCTGGTTATAGATAAGCTTTCATTTAAAAATCTAAGATGAAGTCATTTTCATTAATAAAATTCCCTTTCAAAATCTGAGTGTTGGGATTGAGAGAGACAGTTGCTCCTGGCATACATTTCAATCAAACACCAATCCAGACTCAGAGGAGGCATGGGGGTGGGGTGAGGGAAGGTCTGAATGTGGGCCAGTTCAAGAAGTTGAGATGGGAGAAGCAGAGGCACTGATTTCAAGGCCAGACTCCCCAGGTGCTCAAGCAAACTCTGAGCATAACCAGAATACACAGCTATCAGGAGAGGGCTTGGAACAGGGGAACCAACAAAGCAGGTACAGGGCTTGACCACATGATGTGACGTTGGGAGAGGAGAGCTACCCAATTAGAGGATCAGCATGCAGAGAGGAGGTATGCTTATTTCCAAACAGCCTCTCCTAAAAGGATAGGGCCCAAACATACTCTTAAGAAGAGTTCCTAGAAGTAAATATTAGACTGAGTTCAATGAACCACTCAGAGATTTATTCTGGATTATTGTGCTCCTAGAAAACAGTTTGGTCAATAAAGGATTGTGAGAAACAGAGCAAGAATAGTATCTTTTTAAAAAGAGGGGGAAAAACTAGCAAATGCACAGCTATTTTATAGTAAGACGTCATTTGCTACTAAATATACATGGACGTATCCAACTGAAGGAAGGAACAGAAACTGGAATGAGCTTGGAGGAAGGGTTGTTCTTCCTATCTCATCCTCCCACAAGTTTTGGGACATAAATGGTCATCAAGCGAGATGGCTACAAGGCCAAACCAGCCTATTGAACTCCCAGGAAATAATGCGCACGCTTAATAGGCTTATGAATAGTAACTGACACACCTCTCATAGGTAGTAGGCTCATTAGCATGAACATGGGATGTATGAGCAGGAGGGGGGAACATATTAAGGAGTAGTATGATATAGGCGGATGGAGAAGATTGTGACTTCTTAGAACCAGCCAATGGCGAAGTGGGGATAGTGTTGAGCATCGGGAAAAGAAATGTATATAATCTCATTGAGGTTTGAAAGAAATTGCTCTTTGTTTCTCAGACGACTGAGACTCTGAGCCAGCCTTTATAAACGCTACAATAAAGCTGCTTGTACCTGCCGAGATCTTGTCTCACGGAGTTTTCAATCTCTCAGGATGGTTTGCAAGAAAGGTCTGTGGTTTCAAATGTGTGAAGGAAGGAAACCTAGCACAGAACACTAAGGACAACACCACAGATTATGCTACAGGGTTACAAGTGTTACACTATTGTTTTCTACAGCATGTATATTGTGTGGAAATATGTGTCTCAGTACCTGGGAAATCGGTCTGACCCAGGTTTCCTAGATGAATGTAATCTAGGTGTTCAAGTTTGAGGACACAAATTCTGTGCATTGCCAGTTATTTTCCACAGTGATTATAACATGTAGCACTCCCCTAACTAGGCATGTTATGAGCAGAACCAGCTGGAGCCAGGGGTCAAACTGGATGGCCCAGGAGGTCCCTTTTGACTCACTCTATGTTTCTAACGTTTGTTGACTATAGTGTTTTTAACTCCAAGAATTGTCTAACTTTTAGACCAAACTAGGTAAGTCAGAATTGCATTCATGAATTCAAGTGTATATTTAAAATATATAAATAGCCATGCTAGGTGCCCTGAGCATTAATGGGTCTGGGAAGGAAGTTTAAACCAATGGAGATTTCCCTTCTGTTTTAAGTAGTAGTGCTGAAAGAGAAGAGAGCTGATTGGGATCCTCCCTACAATTCCAACATTACTCAGGACCCCTTCCCTGCTGTATGCATTTTTTTAAATCATAAAGATTACACTCAGGAAATTAATATAGTGTGTTGTGCTTTTAATAATTCACACCACACCTGTGCCTGCTATTCTTTCAACAGTGCCACAGATATATGAGAAATTATTGTGGATGAATTAAGTCTTCTATCTGATACATAACAATATTTTAAAATATCATGAACTGCACATCAAAACAACTTACTTTTACAACTGGGTGTGAATACTCTGGGCCAAAGTGTTATAGATCAGTGATATATCTTGGATGAGAAAACTCATATTTACTACATGTTATTTTCATTGAAAATCTCTAAGATTAACATTATTCAGAAAGCTAAGAAACTTTCTTCAGTTCTCTCAGCCTTTCAAATATTTCAGTGATATTCAGTTCACAGTTTATCTTATTTTGCTATTTTCTCGCTGTGTTTTCTTTTTCTTTTAATATTTTTGTATCTTCCCATCTGCTCCAGTAACCAAAAAGCAAAGAAAGTAGTAAGACTAATTAGGAAAGCAAACATAAAATAATGCAAAAAACATAGCAGTGATGCATCAAGTAATCTATACAACATTTACATCTTGTGTGCTGTAAGCACTTTTGATCACTCTATCTCAAGAATTAAGAAAGTGTACCTTGAAAAAAATTCCCCTTTTACCTGGTCTGTGATATAAAGTCCAGAAAGATTAATATAGGCCAAGGATGGTATCAGTATCAAAGTTTCAATTCCAGCATCACTCACAGCTTGACAATAATGCAAATTCAGATAAACTAGATTTGAGCACCTAAATAAAATAGAGTTATTTCTCTCTCAATTATTCCACACTTCTGCTTGTCTTAAATTTTCACAGAACACTTCCTGAACTGAACTTGAAGAATCTGACAAAGAATGAACCAAAATTCAATTCTGGAATGGTACATTGTTCATCTGCACAAGTTATTGGATGTTTCATATATCTGAGGTCAACTTCAAATATAAAATGTGTGGCTTATTGGATTATTCCATGCAAGGCTGTATTTTGATCTGACTCACTGTTCCTGTTCATCTGGGGCCCTGAATGTCTTTCAGCCTGAAGGATAAATTCCATTTCTGAGAAGCTATTAGGGACTGCAACCTGATGTACAGGACTAAGCACAAAAGACCAGCATATTTTAGATTTAAGCTATTATTACCAGTAACTAAGTCTTATGAAAAGCATTCAGTCTTTTAGAGAGGGGGGCATATTGCACAAAAGCTATTCACCCAAGAAAAAAAATCGGAGGCCTGGGGGATGGAGTGGGTCCAGCAGAAGAGATCAGGCTCATCTGAGAGATCATGGAGTTCTGGTCTGCAACTGCAGGTGGGCCAGATGTTGTTCTGGGATCTGAGGTTGTACATTCCTGCTGTTCAGAATTCAAAAATAATATTTTTCAAACCTTTATCCCTTTCAATTTTCAAAATTGGAGTTTGTATAGGATTTTTAAAACACTAACTTCTCCTCCCAACTTTAAAGTAGAGCATAGGAATTACATTTATTGAACCAAAATATCTAATCATAATCTTTGTTTCATGAGGAAGGATTACCGTATTTTTCGCTCTATAAGACGCACTTCCCCCCCCCTCAAAAGTAAGGGGAACTGTCTGTGCGTCTTATAAAATGAATGTGTGTGTGCCCAATGCCCAGGACGCTGCCGGCCCGCCTGCACCACGTGGCACCACCTGGCCAGCACGCGCTCGGTGTGCGCTGCTCCACCCCCCTCTCCGGCGTAGGTGAGAGCTGTGCTGCTCAGGGGGAGCAGTGAAGAGGAGGAGGAGCTGCGGGCTTTAACCCGCTGGCAGCACAGAGAGATGGACTGCTTACCCCCACCACCTGGGAAGACCTGCTGTGGAGAAGGAGGAGCCGCGGGCTTTAACCCGCCGGCCACACGGAGAGACGGACTGCTCACCCCCACCACCCGGGAAGACCTGCCACCGCTGCGCCGCCCGGAAGACCACCGCCGGCATGCTGCCAGCCCGGCTGCACCACACCTGGTCAGCACGTGCTCGGTGCGCCCTGCTCCGCCCCCCTCCTCTGGCGCAGGTGAGAGCTGTTAATCACAGGTCGGTGTGTGTTTTCAAATGGCAACCCGTCTTTTAATGAAGCCCATGGGGAAGTGATGGGGAATGTGCCTGTGATTATCAGGAAGCTTTCCATGGATCCCTCCCCTAAAAACTAGGTGCATCTTATGGTCAGGTGCATCTTATAGAGCGAAAAATATGGTAGCTTAAATCTTGTTTCAAAGAGGTACAAAAGAGGCACAAAGAAAATTCTTTTCCATACAACATGGCTAGAGTGGATGAACATTGCAGAAAGGAGGATACTATTCCCAATTTAACCAGTATACTGTGCAAAAAGATGCTGTGGGTATGCCCATTATATGCATATTGGCTTGTTCATGCATTTAAGAACCATGCTTTTGCCAGACTAGTGACTAATTACAGGGAGCATAAACTCTCTTGTACAGCAGCTTCAATGGCTACCATTCTTTTTTCTGGCACAAAGTGCTTGTTATGACCTTTAAAGCCCTAAATGACTTTGGATCAGGCTGCCTAAAAGACCACATTCACCCATACTAATCTGCTTAGATTTTAAAATATTCCGTTGGAGGAAGACCCTTCTCTTGATCCTGTTGCCAGTGGAGAACTGTTTGGTGGTAATATTAGAGATTTCTTGGTGGCTGCTCCCTGGCTCAAACTTGTGAAGGAAAAACCTAGGATGGCTCACTCTTAGCTTTCCTTTTCTTCACAAGCAAAGCCATTGGTACTCAAGCAGGCCTTTAGTCTGTAAACAGATCTGCTTTAGTTTTGGGGATTTTGAGTCAGTGAATGCTGCAGGGCAGTATAGGGAAAGGAGCATATGTTTCATTTGAAAGTGCTGCCAGTGTGTATTTTGGAGTAGTCAATATATCCTCTGTAAATCCACAAAGGAGAAGAACTTTTGCCTGTTAACTGATCTAACGCTATATCATTTTGGTGGGAAGATGTGATATAAATGAAATAAATGAATAAATAAGCAGAAAACAAAACAACCCTTTTTAATAAATGGAAGTTGTGAATAAGTAGTAGAAAACATATTTTATTGACTGAAAATATACATATCAGGACCCAGAAAACTATTTTCAGCATGCCCATGGGCTTGTATATACCCTTGGGCTTTTCAGTGGGTAGTCCAATAATTCACATATTTTATATTTTAGGATGACATTAGCAAACACCCCCAGGGCATTTTGCAAACTGTTTGGGGATTTTTTTTCAGATTTGTAAGTAGTTTTCCATGTGTAATGTCTCATGTTCAAGAAATACAACCTCAAAGCTTAATTGAATGGATTGAACTCATGTGGTTCTTTGGATCCCAGCCCAAAACAATACTTCTGGACTTTGTATTAACCATTAGTGAAATTCATCTGATAACCTTATGAAAAATAAAAGATGTCTATACCTGAAAATAGATTTGTTCATATGCACATCTGAAAAACAACAATACATAATGTAGAGTTGTTTACTGGGGAATTATATTTAAATTCTTTTAAATTTTAGAATGCCAAAAATTTCTTACATTGAATCTTGCAAATATTTTTTAAGTTGCAGAGTGGCTTGTTCATTCAAGCAAATAGGGAAACACAGAAAAGGTTAAGGCTAAATTCCAGTGGAAATGAATACCTATTATATGCCCAATTACGGCATTAAAGGAAACCTAACTAGATGAACTGTAATTAAAAACCAAGTCACAATGAAATTACCTACATCTAATTTAACATTCTTATGACTGAACTACAACTCTACCAGTGATTTCAAGGGGGCTTATCACAGCAAATGGTTACTGAACTACATGCTCAATACGCTATCCCATGCTTGAAAAGGGCAACACAATTGTTAAAAAAGAGTAACTACATGCAAAATTATTTAAAAGTTCCTAACAACTAAGCATCACAAACAAATGATATATTGTACTACAGTACCTTTGAGCTATTTTTATGACAGCACTGTCAGTAATATAGGAACAATTGGCCAAGCTTAGTTCTCTTATCTTTGAGCCCGAAGAACCATCAACAAATGTTTTTATTCCTGCATCACTGATTCTAAAAATAGAATAGAAAATAATTTTCTTATATTATTGAAATTTATTGCTAGAATTATTAACAACAACAAGTATGTGAATGTCAGACCATCAACTGAAATAGATTCCATTTAATACCTAGCCATCTATCCAATTCTCAATTTCTAAAACAGACTCTAAAATTCAAAAATCAATTCTAGCTTTCATGGATCTTTTCATGAAGGTTTTTAGATCTACAAACTACAACTGAAAGTAATTAGAAACCTATTTCTCATCTGATAACTAGATTATAAACAGCTTCATATAACCATGTTCATTGAGAATTAAGAGCCATTAACTTTAATGGTACTGACTCACTTCTTATAAACTCTGTTAAGGCTTACAGCCAAAACCTGTAGCATTAAAAATGAATCATAATGTACTAAACAATTGTCAATAGATTCAAACATTCAAGCTTAGTCTTGAAATCATTTATGGAACAGTAATCTTGCTAACTTCAATAGGACTACATGTAAATAAGTGGCTCAAGAGTTAGGTCTGTCTTTAATTCATGCAGTGCCATTCAAAGGGCTTTACAATGGTACCACTGAGCTGGGCATATCTACCCCTTATCCAAAAAAGCCCTTTACAATATGGATTGTTTAAAACCTTTCAAGACTTCTACTGCTGATTGGTTAGTGTAAAAAGTGGGGACAGCTCTCAACACTATAATGGGGGCAGGAAGGTGCAAAGACAGTAGTAGCATTAGCTCTTCCCTGAGACAATTCTTATACTCTGTGCAATAAATCATATATGGTAGCTCCCATGGGATAATTTCTGGGAATGTAAAGAACCACTGCTCAGTCCATGACATGGCTGGGTTTACACATAGTGATTCTTCTGCACTGGTAGTGTATATGGAGTTGTCCCAACTGCCTTAATTATGGTGGCATTAAATGAATTACCATAGATATACTAAGTATATAAATACACTGGCTGAAACCAAAGAACAAAGTCTATTGTGATCCTGGCCTGGCAAACTAACTCAAACTCTCAATAGTTAACATTGTATGACATTAAAACCTCCTTTAAACATATTGGTTGTGGGTACATAGGCAATATAAGAGATTGCATTGGATGACAGGCTAAAAAAACCTCTAGACAGGGTGTTATCCTCTTTCCATTGATAGAATTGCTTCTATCATCAGAACAGGGAGGTGGGAAACTTGAGGGGCACATACAGAAAGAGAGGCAAAATATGTAAGCACACCTGTATTCACAATGTTGGATTTCAGTCATAAAAATGAAACCGCTGCTTTGTAAATATACTGGCACCTCATCAAAATGTTTATCCTCATTATGGCTCAAGCAGAGCAAAACACCCTCTTAAACTCACAGTTTGCCCCAACTCCAAAGGTTATAGAGAAAAGACATTTTGTTGGAGTGTTTAACTGAACTGTATACTTATTATATATCAACAATCAAAATCTGTTCTCTCTGCAACAGCATAATCCTATTTTAGTCATGCAGGATAAGTACAATCTGATATTGTGTCAACTCAAATATATTACAGTCACTATTGTATTTCAGAACAAAGAAATAAAATACTGATGAGTTCAAAAAACTATTTGTGCTGTGAATAATTGGTACATCTTCCATTCTGCATCTCTTGTGTCTGCCATATTCCATCTCTTTCTACACTGAACCCACTCTGCAAAGTACTTACACTGCATTTGCTAAAGGAAGATAGTCCCAGTGCCATTGCATTAATGCTCTATTCTGTTGATGTAATGTGCTAGATGAGTTGGCAAGTTGTGATATTATAGAATATTTTAGCTTTTTGTGTGTGCTCATTTGAAGGTGCAGTTGTTCACAGATTTGAGCTGCAGGAATATCTTTTCTTTAGCAGCTACAATGAGACCTAAATACTTAAACAAATACTTAAATACTTTAACATTTACTTTAATCAGCTGAATATAACAGTACCTCATGCAATCAGATAAATTTAGTACAATAATATCATCCAGTGATGCAATTAGCTTCAGACCCACATCTGTTATCTTCTGACAGTCAGCCACACTAATACGTTTCATATGGGGCCAGAATTTGCTCATCAGTTTGAAACTGAGGTCAGTAATCCGATTACTTCCTGTTGACACACAAGGTTAATGAGTTCACAATAACACAGTTATCAATACCTGTTTCACAGTGCCTTCTAACTTGGACAGTTACTGGCATCCTATTGAAGAGTGAAGGAACACAGAGCAAAGATTGCATCCTCACTTCTCCCATACTACAAAATACTTAGACATTGTTTCCTAGAGGAGCCTCACCCTTCCTCTCCCCCAGAACACTCATTTGATGCCAATCTTCCATCCTCATAGCTCAGCTGGCATGGAAAGAACTGCAGCTGTGAAAGAAGAGGGAGGTGCTCAGAGGGCAGAGTTCCAGCTCTGATCTCAAAATGCATTTCTGAGGTTGGAGCTGGAATGTCAATCTTTCCAATGGCCATCTAGACAGCAGCTAGTGGTGATAGGCTTGCTCCCAGAATCAGTAAAACTATCAGCTGGACACTTCTACTGAACTACATCTTGCAAAATGATGGTGTATGATTAATTTTGCAGGAAATACTTTATCATCAAATGCTATTAAACAATTGTGAGGAAATGTTGTACTTGATGCTACTAACCTTGTATCTTCATTTTAACAAGTTTACATTGAGCAAGTGCTTTAAAACCTGTGTCAGAAACATGTGGAGACTCGTTGAATTCAACAGACACAATCTGTTTACATTTTTCAGCTAAAGCCTTTCAGAGAAAAGAAAAGAAATTAGCAAATTGTTTATAAGTTTTGCATTTTATAGAAAAACTACACTTTAAAAACTGCTGAATTTTATATCCTATCTCATCCATCTGCACACTTCTTTGAAAAGATGATGATACTTAAGACCTGCATCAACTACTATATTTTTAATTTCCAAACGGTAGCTGAATTAACCTATTGAAATAACATCAAAAAATCCTAATAAAGGAAATGTCTTTTGACACCTTCTGTTAGTCTTTAAGGTGTGACAAGCTTTCTTGTTTATATTGTGATTAGTAGCTAGTGTTATGCTTTTGCAGCAAAAGCAAAAAAAAAACAAACCCCACAAAGATCACTTTGCAGAAATTCAGTAAATGTTCAACAAATATGGGACATGTACTGTACCTTTTTATATACAGTATTACTCAGTGTGTCCCCTTCATGGGTCACTGCCTTGCTGTGGTGAAGGGGCTTGTGTAGCACAATGAAGCTACGAGCTATGCTGGTTATAGCAGAAAGCTCTGACAAAAGGTGATGCACTGAAGAAGGAAATGGCAACACACCCCAGTATCCTTGCCATGAAAACCCCATGGGTACTATACAAAGGCTAAAACATATGATGCTGGAAGATGAGCCCCTCAGGTCGGAAGGTGTCCAGTATGCTGCTAGGGAAGAGCGGAAGACTAGTACTAGAAGCACCAGAAAGAATGAAGCAACAGGGCCAGAGGCCAAAGGACACTCAGTTGCGGATGTATCTGGTGGTGAAGTGAAAGGAAAGCCCAATGCTGTAAAGAACAACACTGCATAGGAACCTGGAATGTAAGATCTATAAATCAAGGTGAGTTTGATGTGACAAGACTGAACATTGACATCTTGGGAATCAGTGAACTAAAAAGGACAGCAATTGGTGAATTTAATTCAGATGACCATCATTTTATTTATTTATTTATTTTATTAGTATACAATGTATACTATTGTGGGCAAGAATCCTACAGAAGACATGGAGTAGCCATCTTAGTCAATAAAAGAGTAGGAAAAGCAGTACAGGGATACAATCTCCAGAATGATCTCGTTCTAATTCAAGGCAAACCATTCAGCATCACAGTAGTCCAAGTCTATGCCCCAACAACTGAAGTTGACCAGTTCTATGAAAACCTACAACACCTTCTAGAAAGAACACCAAAAAATGTTGTCCTTATCATCATGGGGGATTGGAATGCTAAAGTAGGAAGTCAAAAGATAACTAGAATAACAGTTAAGTCTGGCCATGGAGTACAAAATGAAGCAGGGCAAAGGATAGCAGAATTTTGTCGAGAGAAAAAATTGATAAAGGAATTTGTCATAGCAAATTGTTTTGCTATGGTCATAGCATAGCACTCTTTTCTAACAACCCTGGAAATGACTTTACACATGGACAACACCAGATGGTCAACACTGAAATCAGATTGATTATGTGATCTGCAGCAAGATGGAGAAGCTCTAATACAGTCCGTAAAAACAAGACCAGGGGCTGAACGTGGCTCAGATCATGAGCTTCTTGTTGCAAAATTCAGGCTTAAATTGAAGAAAGTAGGGAAAAGCACTAGGTCACCCAGGTATAACCTAAAACATATTCCTGATGAATATACAGTAGAGGTAACAAATAGATTTAAGGAATTAGATCTGATAGACAGAGTGCCTGAAGAACTATGGACGGAGGTTCGCAACATTGTACAAGAGGCAGCAACTAAAACCATCCCAAAGAAAAAGAAATGCAAGAAAGCAAAATGACTGTCTGAGGAAGCTTTACAAATAGCTGATGAAAGAAGGGAAGTGAAAGGCAAGGAAGAAAGAGAAAGATACACCCAACTGAATGCAGAATTCCAGAGAATCGCTAGAAGAGTTAAATGAATAGTACAAAGAAATAGAGGAAAATAATAGAATGGGAAAGACGCGAGATCTCTTCAAGAAAAATGGAGATATGAAGGGAACATTTCACGCAAAGATGGGCATGATAAAGGACAAAAATGGCAGGGAACTGACAGATGCAGAAAGAGATATCTAAATACTGGATACCTAAAGGAGGGCCTTCTTTCCTATGTGCCCACCTGCCCCTTGAGATCTGAGGCAGAGGTCTTTCTCTGGGAGCTGTCCCTGAAGGAGATTAGGAGGGTAGTTACCCAGAGAAGGGCCTTTTTGGCAGTGACACCCCAACTCTGGAATTTGCTCCTCAGGGAGCTTTCCCTGCTGCCGTCACTTCATTCTGTTTGGCATCAGGTGAAAACCTTTTTATTTTCCCATCGTTTTAATGTTTAATTGGTTTTATTGAGGTTGTTTTGTTTTACATTTTTGGTGTTTTTTTCTTTTTCTTGTAAGCTGTCCCAAGACACTTGTAGTGGATGACCTATAAAAACTTTTAATAAATGAATAAATAAGAGGTTGCAAGAATACACAGAGAACTGTACAAGAAAGTACAGTTCTTGTACAATTGTCCCTGATAACCACAATTGTATGGTTGCTGACCTCAAGCCAGACATCCTGGAATGTGAAGTCAAATGGGCCTTAGGAAGAACAGAGCTTGTGTAGATGACTAGTATTCCAGCTGAGCTATTCAAAATCCTAAAAGATGATGCAGTAAAAGTGCTACACTCAATATGCCAGCATATCTGGAAAACTCAGCAGTGGCCACAGGACTGGAAAAGGTCAGCAGTTTACATTCCAATCCCAAAGAAGGGCAATGCTAAAGAATGTTCAAACTACCGAGCAATTGCGCTCATTTCACATGCTAGCTAAGTTTTGCTCAGAATCCTACAAGCTGGGCTCCAGCAGTATGTGGACCGAGAACTACCAGAATTACAGGCAGGGTTTCAAAGAAGCAGAGGAACTAGAGATCAAATTGCCAACATATGCTGGATCATGGAGAAAGCTAGGGAGTTCTAAAAAAAAAAAAAAAAAAAATCTACTTCTGTTTCATTGACTATGCTTAAGCCTTTGATTGTGTGGATCACAACAAATAGTGGCAAGTTCTTAAAGAGATGGGAGTACCAGACCATCTTATTTGTCTCTTAAGAAACCTGTATGCTGGTCAAGAAGCAACAGTCCGTGAAAATGGAACTACGGATTGGTTCAAAATTGGGAAAGGAGTACAGCAAGGCTGTATATTGTCACCCTACCTATTTAACTTATATGCAAAGCACATCATGTGAAAGGCCGGACTAGATGAAATCCAAGTACGAATTAAGAATGCCGGAAGAACTAACAACAATCTCAGATATGCAGACAATACCACTCTAATAGCAGAAAGTGAAGAGGACCTAAAGAGCTTCTTGATGAGGGTGAAAGAGGAGAGTACAAAATTTGGGTTGAAACTCAACATTAAGAAAACTAAGATCATGGCATCCGGTCCTCTCACTTCCTGGCATATATATGGGGAAGAAATGGAGGTAGTGACAGATTTTATTTTCTTGGACTCCAAGATTACCACAGACGGTGACAGCAGCCAAGAAATTAAAAGATGCTTGTTCCTTGGGGCAGCATACTAAAAGGCAAAGACATCTCCCTGCCAACAAAAGTCTGCATAGTCAAAGCTATGGTTTTCCCAGTTGTAATGTATGGCTGTGAAAGATGGAGCATAAGGAAAACTGAGTGCCAAAGAATTGAGGCCTTTGAATTGTGGTGCTGGAGAAGACTCTTGAGAGCTCCTTGGACTGCAAGGAGATCAAATCAGTCAGTCTTAGAGATCAACCCTGACTGCTCTTTAGAAGGCCATATAGTGAAGATGAAACTCAAATACTTTGGCCACCTAATGAGAAGGAAGGACTCACTGGAGAAGAGCCTAATGCTGGGACAATTGATGGCAAAAGAAGAAGGGGATGGCAGAGAATGAGGTGGCTAGATGGAGTCACTGGGGCGGATGGTGTGGGCTTGGGTGAACTCCGAAGGATGGAGGGAGGACAGGAGAGCCTGGAGGAATGTTATCCATGGGGTCGTAAAGATTTGGACACGACTTAGTGACTAAACAAAACAAAAACTTAGATGAGTCAAAATGCATAGGACCAAATTGTAAATCTGCAGTCTTTGTGAATAAAGGCAATCAAATTTCGTACTTACAAAGCAATTTTTTAAATTAATCCAGAAGGGTTAATTTAGCCTGCTCCCCCCCCCCCACGCACCCAAATTTAATGCCTGGTAGGAGCTGGCAAAAGGGGGAGAAAACACTCCCACCTGCAGCAGCCTGTTGCATTTCTATGCTGAATGCAGAAGGCACCCAGCATGCTCTGCTAACCCATTTGTTCATCTGCATAGAATTCTTTCCTACCAGGCTACTACTTGAATACAAAATTGTATGATAGGTAGAGTAAATTTCTTACTTGAATACATCTGTCTGTCAAAGTAGGCATTTCATTAATTATCAGGTGTTGGATACCACTGCAGCTGTTAGCAATATTTCTGAAGCCTTCTACTGAGATCTAATTTTTAAAAACAAAACACTTATTTTAAAAAATTAGGCCTATATAATGCAAGTTAGAAATCACAAATAATTGTTAACAGCTCTATTATAAATTACAAAATACATTAATTTCATACTATTAAAAGAAAATACAATGACTCCTAAGTTTTAAGCCGAATATATTACAAAACAGGAAAAAAACAGATTGACATTTCAGAAGCAGATTTTGGATATCAGTAACCTTTACCAGTCTCATTCTCTCAGTATATATTAGAAACATCCATGAGTGGGAAATATTTGTGAATCTAGAGCCTGTTATTTCTAAAAAAAATACAGTCATCTCACAGTGTATGTTATTGTTATTACACTGCATTTATATTTCAACTTTTCCCCTTCTTGTGAAAAATCTAAGATGGCTTACATAGCTTCCCCTTGTGAAAAACCCAGGATGCTTACAACAACCATTCTGTTGTTGTAGACTAAACTGAGAGCAAGTGACTGGTCTATGAACCCACTGAGCTTCATGGCCAAATGGGGACTAGAACCTGGATCTCCCAAGTCCCCAGTCCAATAATCTAACCACACCACACCACATGTTCCTGAAAATGGTCAATTCCAGATTCACAGGTAATCCCCTCCAGATAATTCCTCCTGATAAATTTAGAAAAGGTGTTCCTGAAAGATGTGTTTTTCCATTAAAATATGAATTTTGGAAAATTTATGTTTTCTATATAGCAGTTCCTTTATGAATGCACACTATTTCACTTTAAGAAGCCAAGAAAAATTAATAAAAACTTTAGGCTCAAAAGAAGCATATATTAAATAAAAAGCTCTTATAAATGAACTACTGTAAGGCTGCACTATGGTGTTCTGGCATATTAGGAGCAGGCATCAGACTTACAGTAATGTCCTGCTCCATTTTCCTCCATCATATATTATGATTTTGCATCCCACCTTGCATATTTAACAGTTACTATTCTCTATTCAGCAATGGCTGATTTATGTTCCTGTGAGTACATGGCTGTATTTATATTCTTCTGAACTGTGAGGGAGGGAAGATTAATTTTCTATACTGGAAAATTATCCACTAACAACTTTTAATCTTTTTATAAAATAATTTAATTATTCATTTTTTCCTTTTTAATTGAAATCATTGCCCTCTGTGCACCCTCAGAGATCAGCCATTATCACAAACTGTATGGCTATAGTCAGCCATGCTTGCACAAATATGTGTGAACCTGTATTATTTAAAAATATTATTGATATGTTATTACTACGTCTGTAGCTTCCAGCTGTTGGAGGTCTAGGCTGCTCATATTTCCAGATTATGTCAAGCATGGGTGTAGTGCTGATGGAGAAATACATTTTAAGAGGCTAGAAAGGCTTTCAGTTCCAATAAAGGATTGGCAAGGCTAGTTTTCTTTCAAGATAAAATCACTGAATTATCACTGATATTTATGAGGTTCCATAAAACCTCAAGTGGAGGCAGAGATTCATATCTGAAGGTAAATACTACCTAAGACCCTCTTGGTTCTACCTGGGGCTGCCTGAGAGATACAAAATTATTGGTATTTATGAATACTGCCAAATTAAGAATGTATTAAATAGAAAATACATAACATAAGAAAAGGCATGTTGGATCAAACCAAGGGTTCATCTACTCCACTATTTGGTTCACCCAGTACTAAATAGTAGCCCATAGAAAAATGCCCTGGTCTGGTTTTATTACATAAGCTTCAGTTGGTACAAGCTTGAGTATGTTGACAAGGTACTTTGTTTTTGTGCTGGATCCTTGCCCTTCCTGCCAGTAAGCCAATAAAGGAACAATCAGCTGGGAAGTGATTGATGCTGCTTTGTGAGGAGTGGCCCCATGCCTCCTGAAAGATGCAGTGGTGAAACCACGTCTGGAAAAATCCTCCCTTGACCCAGAAGACTTAATAACTTGGTGGCTAATATCCCCTTCCTGTGCAAGGTCAACTTCCACTCTTAGATCAGACTGAATATCTGTATCCATTTCAGTGGGGGTTCAGGCCTGGTTTTGGCATGGAAACTGCCTTCATCACCCTGTACAATGACCTATTTCGTGAAAGTGATGGGGAAATGTGATCCTGTTGATACTCCTGGGCCTTTCAGCAGCCTTTAATACCATTGACTATGGTACCCCTACATCCAACTCAGAGAGTCACCTGGAAGGATCCATCATTGTCACTCAAGTTTCAGGTGGTCTCCATGGCACTAAATTCTATCAGCTTTGGCCAATAGTGACCCTAGCTGGAAGGGGTAACTTGGTGCCATAAATGGTCTATGCTTTGGTAACTTCTAGGTTCTATTCTGCAATGTGCTGTATGTTGGTCTGCTTTTGTAGTTGATATGGAAACTGCTAGTACAGGATTTGGGGGCAAGATTCCGGACTGGGAGATGTGAACATGCCTAGTCTAGTCCAATCTCCCATGTACTGGTTGCCAATTTGTTTCCAGGCAAATATAAAGTGCTGCTTTTACCTTTTGAAGTCCTTTATTTATTTATTTTCCTTTGTACCTCCTGTAGCTGAAGCTCTCTGGGCAATTTACAACAAAATGGCTCAAGTCTCCAATGCCTCAAAGACTGTCTCTCCCCACATTGACCCTTAGGTTGGTTTCAGAAGCCCTTTTCTTTGTGCTCCTTCCAAGGGAAGCCTGGTGCATGGCAGGTTAGAAATAGGCCTTTTCTCTGATAGTCCTGTGTTCTCAAGGAACATCATTTGGCATGGACACTATCAATTTGTCTGCACCCTGCAAGGACATACTTGTTTTCCCAGGCATTTGGACATTAATTGTGGCCAAACTGTTGTGTATTTGGTGTGTGTTGCTGATTTTGTGGTGTTCTTTCTAGAGATGTGGGGATGGAAGAAACTCTTTTGTATTGCATTGATTTATTTTTTTAAAATGTATTATTGTGCTGATTATTGTCTATGCTGGCTTGGTTTTTCCCTATTATATTACAGATTTCTGTATTACATGTGCAAATCTCTTCAAAACTGTTTTTGTACCTAGTGAATATAATTCCATATATCTGAAGAGCTCCCCAATATACAGAACCATTAACTTATTGTTATATAGTTCCATTTAATTTTCAAATTGATAGGAAATCAATTGCCTAAATATGCTATTGGAGGGGATGGATATATAAAACTCTGTAGGCTATACTCTGACTGCCTCCAAGAAGAATCCTTTTTATTTAAGTACTTTGTGTTCAGGCAGGTTAAACCTGGACACTATGTTAATACTTGTCAACATGACTTGGGTATTTTCCTTCTGGAGTCTAAAAAAAACTTCTTACCCTCACAGATTCCCAGAATTCAGCCAAAAGAAGAAATATATGTGGAAGATTTATTTCTAATGAAACAAAGATAGCAGGTTACCATGCCACATTGTCAATATTTTACAAAAGAAAGAGAAGAATACTAAAAAGCTCACTGGCAATTTGATTTCCTTTTTGGGAAATCTCATTCTCTTCAAAAAAAAAAAAAATGCTAGTTGTTGTTTACTAATAGAGAACACTTGAATATTATTACGTTTTGCAAATTTAAAATGTTAAATTGTATACAGGGAAGTAACATAACATAAAACAAGCATGTTTTAAGTCCAGAGCCACAGTAATGCATGCTTTCATTATGCAGTAAGAAGTGGTTGTTTATAGTTAAGACACCCACTGGAAAAAAGCCAAAAGCCTATAGTGCTGTTCCTCAGGAAAATTTAAGCTGCTGTGTAATTTAAAACCTCTCAAGTTTGCTGCAGTGCTTGCACTGCTTTAGCGTACCATGAATACTGGATGTCGCCAGTCTTCTAAGGGATTGCCTTCCCTACAGTATGAAAAAGAAAATTCAAACGCAAACCTGGAGGCAGCCTGAAATATCCAAATAGATGAGCTTGTGACATCCTCTTCCAGAGCCGAGGTACTGTAAACCTTTGTCTGTGAATTTTCTGCAATAAGCTAAACTCAGATATTGTAAGTTGGGAAAGCCCCTTTACCCAATTAAAAAGAGAAGGAAAAAAATCAGTTACTACAATGCAAGTACAGATTTCTGATGCAATTTGATACTGCAGCTTTCTAATAACATGGGTGGACACTGGAGTTTAAGGAGCTTTATCTCTGACTGAATGCAAAAGATTTTGTGCTTCACTTTTTTCTGCACTATTAACTGTATATTGTTTAATGTTATCCCTGAACACTGCAATCCTAGATACTATTACCTGGCAGTAAGTTCCATTGCACTCAGCACAGCTTACTTTCAGTGGACACTTATAGATGGTTCTGTTTGATATAATACATATATTTAAAATAACATCTGTTTTTAATTTTTTTTGGGGGGGTGCTTGGCCGTAAACCCAAACATTATGCACTACTTTTAAATACATGAATTTTCACGAATTTTAAGGACAAAGTTGTAACATTAACTTCACATTGATAATGCAAGTTGTATAAGTTAATAAAGAATTAAACTCTAACAAAAGCCATTGATAGCATTCAAAATATAATCTAACTGTTTTCCAGCTTAAAGGAGCAATTCTAAGAAAAGCAAAACTACAAAGAAGCAATATTTATACATGAAATTCTTAAGCTGCAATGACTATGTACAGTTACCTGGGAGTAAGCCCAATGAACATGTAGAGACTGACATGAGTAAATATGCACATAATTGCATTGCATGTTATTGATAGGAAAGATTTATTTATACCCAATGACAGGCAAGGAAAATGAGCTGGACAATTACACAAGACAAATGTATACTCTGGAACTATACATCTGTTTGCATTTATTTTTGTAATGTAAATGTACTATCATCCTGCTGAAGACCATTAATTTCAAGCAATTATATTGTAGCTGAAATAAATAAGTAATGCAAGCCACATTACCAGAAATGAAACCTTGCAGAAACTGAATTAAAACATATAATTAGGAGTGGTGACATCATACTCTACAATGGATTTAGTTTCAGAAAACATTTTAAGGCAATTGCATTAGGCTCCAAACAGTTGAAAGATTTGGAACACCCACGATGCTGAAAGCATGATATCATGGCTATTACCTCTAAGGTTTATTTTATATATATTTATTATTTATTATATTATAGTCCATCTTTTTCCTGCAAGGAAACCCAAGAAGGCTTATATAATCTTCCCATTTTATCCTGGTAACAGGTTAGGTTGCTTAGGCTGCCTAAAGTCACTCAGTGAGGACTAGAACCTGGATTTCCTGGGCTCGAGTTCAAACACTCTAACCACTATACCATACTAGCTCTTACTGTCTTTCCTGTGTTTGCATTTTTAATTGATTAGAAATAAAGAACAAAAAGCAGAAAAAAGGGGTTACAGTTTTATTCTGCTTCTACATTATCATGATCAAATTCCACTTGAGGCCACAACCTGTGGATTATATTTATTGTGCATACACTAATGTTGTTGAACAGCATATCCATGCAATAAAAGCCAAAGACAGACATCTCAAACACAGATGCCCAATTAAAGTCTGCAATATCATGCGCATATACTACAGTGTTAGTCCCACAGAATATACTGCAACCTACTTCTGAGTAAATAAGGATAGGTCTGGGCTGCAGGCTTTGTTCTGAGTTGTCTGCATGATAGCCTGGCTACCATATTCACATACTACAAGTTAAGGTTGTACAACCTTTGTGATCCTAAAGACTATATTGGATGGTGCTAAGGACCAGTCTGCTGCAGGTATGTACATGCATTCCTATGCACAATTAACCCCTTAACTATCTCTGATCTCAGAAACGAGGGACAGGTTTATCTTGCAAGTGCAAGCAAGTTAATACATTTCTTATCTCTGAACAACACAAGATGGATGAGGGCGGACGAGTCTGATGGACTTCTAGAAATGTCTTGATGGTTCACATATGTTTACCTTTTTTAAGGCATGAATGACAGCTTAAAGGACCAGACTGTGACAGAGGAGTATACTGGTATATGCAGGCCATTTGTTTTGCCCTGTCCCTTACTAGAAGCTGGTAAACAAACCAGGTAAGGGAGAGTTTTGTGTAATGTCTAAACCCAGAATTGAGGCTTATTTTACTCAGACCAACCACAAGTATAAGCCAGGATTAAACTAGAATTTCTTGCTGGCTTGTGAATTTTCACTTTTGGGGGTATAATATATCATAATCCTGTGTATGGGTGGCACATGAAGACTTCTTTTTCCTGGTCTTTTTACCCACTTGAGCTCCCTAAGCAGGAGCAAATGGGATGTGTGCACTAACATGCTGTTCATTTGTATTCTGGTTTATTAAGCTATAATTCATGGCATAAAGTAATATGCAAACACAGTAAATGACAAATTATAACAGGTTGCATCTCTACCAGGAGATAGGAAAACATTATCTTCTTAACAGTTCAGATGCTTTAACTTGTACTGGTCAATACAACACAACACAACACAAAATGCGTACTCCTGTTTTTCTTTCAAAGTTCTATAACGTGGCCTGGAGTGGGGCTTCATTCATACTTTGTTCTATGCTGTCTTTGTTTATATAAAAACATTATAAGTAATTAATCAGGACTCCCAAATCCACGGTTGAACAAAATAGATACTGCAAAATATGTTATATTTGGGGTCACCTGTTTTTTTGAGCGGGTGCTGTAGAGGTACCATATGCCACCCTATGACATATATTCAGGCACTCTGTATCCTGTATTCAAGGGCCAGGGCTTCATTGTGAAAATCTTTGCAGCTCTGACTGGCTGCAGGTACAACACCATTTTTGAGTTGTAATAAATCTTCCCATTATTAGGGACACCATTGTGAAGCTAAGTTAACTCAAGATAAAAGAAATATCAGAATAAGGATAATATCTACGAGTACGTCCCACCACTTGCCTATTGGACCCTTGCCCATCTTGGTTAATAAACAACGCCAAGCACGGGATTGGGATCTGGATCTTGGAAGTGGTTAACGCTTCTCTGAGGGAGCGTCAGGTACCTGCCCCTTTAAAGGAGGCGGTAGTCCGACCGGTCCTGAAGAAAGCGTCACTGGATCCAGAGACGGCCACTAATTATAGGCCAGTGGCCAACATCCTGTTTCTGGGCAAGGTGTTGGAGCGGGTGGTGGCGGAACAACTCCAAGCACTCTTGGATGAAACTAATTATCTGGACCCATTTCAGTCCAGCTTCAGACCTGGGTATGTTACTGAATCTGCCTTGGTCACCCTGTACGATGACCTGTGCAGGGAGAAGGACAGGGGGAGTGCATCCCTGTTGGTTCTTTTGGACCTCTCAGCAGCTTTCGAGACCATCGACCATGGTATCCTTCTGGATAGGCTAGTGGGAGTGGGGGTCAGAGGCACTGCTTTGCAGTGGTTCCGCTCCTATCTCAATGACCGATTCCAGAAGGTGGTGCTGGGGGACTATGGCTCTGTACCATGGCAGCTATGCCATGGAGTACCGCAGGGGTCCATTTTGTCCCCTTTGCTGTTTAACGTCTACATGAAACTGCTGGGAGAGGTCATCAGGAGGTGTGGGCTGCGGAATCATCAGTACGCTGATGATACCCAGCTCTACCTCTCGTTTTCCACCAATCCAGGTGAGGCAGTGGCTGTGCTGAACCGGTGCCTGGCTGAGGTAATGGGCTGGATGAGGGCCAATAAACTGAAGCTCAATCCAGACAAGACAAGTTGGTTGGCAGATCGGGCTTCGGTGAAGGTGAATTGAACCTAGTCCTGAATGGGGTTGCACTCCCTCTTAGGGACAAGGTCCGCAGCTTGGGAGTACTCCTCGACCCAGAGCTTTCACTGGAAGCTCACGTGACAGTGGTGGCGAGGAGTGCTTTCTTTCAGCTTCAGCTGATCCATCAGCTGCACCCCTACCTGGAGTACGACTGCCTGGCAACAGTGACACACGCGTTGGTGACTTCCCGACTTGACTTCTGTAACACGCTCTACGTGGGGCTACCCTTGAAGACAGTCCGGATACTTCAATTGGTTCAAATTAGAGCTGCCAGGCTGCTGACGGGGACTGGGCGTTATGTTCACATGACTCCAGTCCTCCGTCAGCTTCACTGGCTTCCCATTGAAGTCCGGGCGCAATTCAAGGTGTGGGTGATGACCTATAAAGCCCTAAACGGCTTGGGTCCTGGTTACCTGAAGGAGCGCTTACGTCCATATATGCCCGCCTGCCCCCTGAGATCTGCGGGAGAGGCCCTTCTCCGGGAACCCTCCGTGAAGGAAATTAGGAGGGTGAGTACTCGGAGGAGGGCTTTCTCTGCGGTGGCGCCCAATCTATGGAATGCGCTCCCCAGAGAGGTCCGCCTGGCGCCGTCATTATTTGTTTTTCGGCGCCAGGCAAAGACCTTTTTATTCAAATGTCATTTTAACTGTTAATAGTATTTATTTATTTTATTATTTGGCCAGGGCAACTTACTTTATACTGTTAATTTATATTATTTTAATTGAAGTTATTTATGTTTGTGAGCCGCCCCGAGGCTTCAGCGAAAGGGGCGACACAGAAATTTTCTAAATAAATAAATAAATAAAATCTATCTACAAATTATAGCCCTCACTCTGAATGAGCCTCACACTCAGTTACATCATAACAGTCAAATCTGATTGCTGTTAAGTGCTATAAATGTTTCTATGAACGGCTGTTTGTACAGCAATAATGGTTTAGAAACTGCAGCTGATTGGGACTGCCAATAGCAGCAAACTAGTGCAAAAGTTTTATTCAGGAGAGAAGTCTGAGCTATTTTTATGCTAAGCTATTTGTTGCTTTTTCTTTTGTTTCTTTTTTGTGGTTGTAAGAAGACAATATAATTGAGATAATAGAGTTAGGCAAGCAATAGAACTGATCCAATGTTCAAATACTAAAACTACAAAAAGTAAAACATTACGTTATGATAGGCATAAATCATTCACGCTGATACAAACACAGCACTGTTGTGATTATAGGTGGAGACAATGAAGCTAGAAACTGTTTAAATTGTCCTTTGCTTTTGTGAAGGGAAAAGCTGG